AAGATGGCTGACTTGGCAGGCGACCTCGTGGGTTCCCTTCGGTGCCCGGGCTGCTCCGGCGTGTAAACGGTCCTTCCGCCTTCCCGGAGAGGAGAGCGGCTGCCAATCTGCTGGGGCCGCTCTGCTCCCCCCACCCCCCCGCCTTTTCTTCTTTTTACGTTTAATCCTCCCGGTTGCTGATTTGACCTTTGTTTCTTTCCTTTCGGCGCGGCTGGGCTTGGCTTGCCTTTAAAGAAAAAGCCAGCTCTCTCTTGGCAAGGCGGCATTCAGATAGGGAAATGGCATGCCCGAAGTGGAGCAGCCCTCCCTGATGGGCATAGGAAGCCGTCGCCCCCTCCTTCCTCTTTCGGAGGAGAGAAGGTTCACGAAGAAGAGGGGGGCTCCGCTACCGTCTAGGTCCATGGAGATGGGGGAATGGGGGAAGCCACGGAGCTGCATTAGAAACTACAGTTAATAGCAGTGATGACTTGGCTGGATTGGTAACCCTTGCTAGCTCGATGCCGAAATGTTCTTGACGTAAAATGCAGGGAAGCGTTGCGCCCGCCTCTTGTCTCTTTGAAGGAAGCCTTCTTAACCATTGCGTTGCTTATATACCCTTAGAACACACATACTTTTGGTCTCTTAGCAGTTAAAAAACAAAGCTGCTTCATCTAGCCGGGATGCCTTTATATTTCTAATGGTTGTTGGTTTTTTTGTTTTTCCTTCTCACCCGCTTGATGTGGCTCCTGGAACTCTTGGCGTTTTAAAGAACTACCAGCTGAAGAAGGTAAACCAGCATATGAAGCCTTTTCTGCTGTTGATGCTTGACTTTTCACGGTCTCTGATTGACAACTTAAGTCTGAATCTTTTTCTTGGCAGGAAAAACTTTACTTGAGCTTGTGATCGAACAGTTTGAAGATTTATTAGTTAGAATTTTGTTGCTGGCAGCATGTATATCTTTTGTAAGTATATTCATTGTATTGAATTGATTGCTTTATCTTCATGGATGCACAGGTTTCCCGGATTGCTATTGAGATTTTGAAAATCATTTCTGGGAGAAGACTGGGTATCGTTATTCTGTCTTGTCATTTGCTTGAAATAAGTGTTTTGTCTTTGCATCAAAGTTCAATAACTTGGACCCCAGACCTTTGAGCGGTTTCTTGCAGCGAATACAGGTGGTCCCTGGGTTAAGAATGCCCGGTTTAAGGACAAGCCATAGTTCATAACGGAGCCTACGGTAGCAAAATTCAAGTTAAATACACAATGATTTGAGTTAAATACACAGCGGTTCTAGTTCATTACACGATGCTACTCATACAGTATTATACAATAATACCGTTCTGGCTTACATACAATTAAACTTAAGGACAGACCTTGGGAACAGAACTTGTTCTTAAACTGGGACTACCTGTACAGTGCCACAGGAGTATTTGAATGAGAACACATACCAGTTTAAGCCAGACATACCTGAATATTGCAATTAGACATTACTGTCTTCATCTCTCTGTTTGAAATAGGTTCTTCTGGTGCTATTGTCTTTTAACCTTGGCCCCAGCAGGAAGGTGAAGTGCTATTGGGTTGCTGATTTTTTAGCAGTTGATTGTTATGAAACTAACTGAGACTGCTGGAAGTCTTTTTTTGGATGCAAGGCAAACTGTAAATAGAATTTGTATGGGGGAATATTCCAGTTGCCTTCTCTTGCTGATAATAGCAAGGTGACAGTTGTTGCTCTTGACAGTGACAAGAATGATGACAGCAATGATGGCACCATTGTTGACCAAATTTGGTAACTGACCTTTGGGAAGCCTCTGGTAAAGTAAACTCCTTGCTTCGCGCACAGAATTGGTAGGATGAGGGCTGTGAAATCAATTCTGAATTTTAAAGTAATTTGTAAAAGGATAGGTTCATGGTGCCAGATGCCAAGCATGTGTTAGGAAAAGGATGGGAGACAGGAAAAAGAGCATTGAAAGTGGCGTACAAAAGGATGAGGTTTGCAGAGCATTTTGTCCCAATTCCTAGGTTGTCCTTCAAGGTTTCCTTTAGACCTAGAGTGTTGCTGTGTCAAGTTCTCAGGATACTCCTCTGGAGTAGATTTTCAGGGCACATGAGGAGCTTTGGTGAAAAGAGAAGGTTTGAATATTCAGGTTCACATGCAGAAGTGGTAACTTGTGTGTGGAACTCCTGTCCTCAGCTCTAACTCAATTATTGATACATATGGTAGCTTTCTGTCTATCTGAGGCAGTCTTTAAAGATACCTTAAAAATGGAAATAAAGAAATGGTGCAAACTTGACTTAACTGGCGTGCAAACTCAGGGATATGATTTAAAAATATAGGAGTGAGAGAAGGGCCGTCCCTTGCACCATTAGGTAGTAGAGTAAGTTGCTGATTCAGAGCCAATGAGGGTTTCCAGTTTCATGCCATTGACTCACCAGCTGAGAGAATAGGGCATTCAGGTTCTTCCGCAGAGATTTTATTTCCTGCAGCAACAAGTACTTTAGTCATTCTGTTTCAGTTTTTTCTTAGTGACTTTATGGAGGCAGGATCAATTTTGGGTGGTTGAATGTTTTAGCTACAGGTGCATGATGAGACCCACTTACTTTGAAGGATGCCAGTAGGTGTGGTAGACAGCTAGTGTGCCCATTCACCTTTATATATTTTAAAATAATGATATATTAACTGTTGAGTAATAGATTTGTTCCATAAGACTCAAAATGAAATACGTATATATGTAGAATACTGGTTTTGCAGTTAATTGGTTAAAATAATGTGTTGATTATGGTAGACATTCTGCAGGTAAATTGTTGGTACAGCAAAAACTCCTCACACTAAAATTCTACACATAACCATGAGATTGGGCAATATATACACAAAAGATGTCAACCTTGAAGATGACTTGAAATACCTTACCAAGAACATGGTTCTCGTTACAATGACATGATTTAGCCTTTGCCTGGAAGATGATTTCCAAAACAATTTTTGTATAGTAGTGAGTATTTCTCTGTAGCATGTTGTGATATTTCTGAGTTTAGAGAGTGCTAATTCCACAGCAGTAGTAGCCTTCTATTCCTTGCAGTCCAGGCATCCCCTTACTTTTAATAGTTATTGTTATAAAGTTGGGTTTAAATTTTGCCTGTTTGTATTCAGTTGTTCCATGTTATACACTGTAAGTTGTACCGGGCTTTCAGACTTGAAAGCCAACTGCTTCCTTGTTTTCCTTGTACCCACTGACTTGGTTTTGATGACAAAACAAGCTTTAATTCTAACGGGTTGCAAATAAGTAGGGATGCGGGTACCCACAGCCCAGTTGTTCCTGCTTGGATGCACCTCCTGTTTCACTGGCACTGTCGTCTTAATGGAAACCCCTGACTTGCTGCTGTTGTAACAAGCAACGGCTTGCTCTTGGCTTGACGGTGTCTTAGAAGAGCAGTAGGCCAGAGGTTCCTGTTTAGGCATAATGCTCAATTAAATTATGACTGGAGACTCCCTGATTTGAGAATGCCTGTCCCTGGCAGAATGAGGCTCCTAGTAATCCCAGTCACAGTTGGCCAGAATTCTGAAATGATGTCTGAAGTGTCCCACTTGGTGTAGAAGGAAACGTGAGGACAAAGTACTAAGATGCCCTGATTGCTGGCATCTTGGATAAACTGATTTCTGATGGAATATTAGAACCGTGTGTCATTAATTTAGAAAAAGCACCACAGATAAATGCCTATCGGGGCAAAAATCGATCCCTTTCTAAGGTTACTCTGGATTAGGAAATTGCAGTTGGCTGTGTGACTGTATGCCCATAGAAGATGTTGAGATGGCTTCCAGTGTTCGGAAAACTATCTTGCTTCAGACTTTGCAGTGTTGGTCTTGTTTCTTGGATGTGGAATGAAGGATGAGGTATTCACTGAACAAAAATGGCTTGCTAAGCTTCTACGTGTGGCTGTTAAATTGGTAAGGCCAGACCTGCATAGTCCATACCATTGTCCTTCTGGTGCTGAAGAATAACAGATGCAACACAGATAAGATCATTGGAATATGAGAGATCATTTTCCTTGTATAACAGAAATCAAGTCTAATAAGCATTACTTCATGCTAAGCATCCAGATGCCTTGTTCTCTGGCATTTTCTATTTTCTGTTGGGCTTCTGTATTCAATCACCTCCATGTAGCAGATCATACTTGTGACTCCAGAGCAGTGTTTCTCAACCTTGGTGACTTGAAGATGTGTGGACTTCAACTCCCAGAATTCCCCAGCCAGCCATGCTGGCTGGGGAATTCTGGGAGTTGGTCCACATATCTGAAAGTTATTAAGGTTGAGAAACACTGCTCTGGAGTAAGGAATCCCGTTAATAGCATGCTAACCTCATCCTGTACAAATGTTGGCAAGAGTATATCCAGTGGAATTCCATGAAACTTGTTCCCAGAAATATGTGCAGGGAATTTTAATCTGAATCAGGCAAAATATCCAGCTAGTCATGGATGTGATGTATACTGTGTACCAAGTAGTGAAGCCAAGTACAGATCACCTTTACCATCTTGTGTTTCCGTTGATAGTCTTATGTGAATTTAAAGATGGAAATAATGGCATGACTTCTTTTCAGGAGGAGGAGTAGCCTTTTCTTTTTTCTTTTGCTTGGAATGCTGGAAAAACAAATCGTAGGTTGAATCTAGTTGTGTGCATCAGTCCCTGCTAGCAGGACAGATTCCTGTGCCCCCCCTCTGACTGCTCTGGAAGGGTTGTGGACCCTTCCGAGGAAGTTGCAGTGGGGGTGGAAAGGAAGGGAACATTTGGAAAGCAGAAATCCAGTTGTGCAACATTAGTGATGTCTTATTTTTCTGTACATCTCAGTCAAATTTTTGATTTTAAAGAATGTGTGATATAAGCCCTACTAGAAAAGTAAAAGAGAAATATTAGTCTGGGTCCGCCAAAGTTGCTCCTTGCTTAAAAAGATGTACGCAAGTGGTGTATGTTTTCCCCTCAATCCTGCCTCCAAAAGGCATGATTATTTTATTTACTTATTCCCTGCCTTTTAGCCAAAACTGCCCTGAAAAATGGCTGTTGATGTCCTCTGTCAGCAGACATAAATGAGAAACGTACCATACTTTTAGCAGCGTTAATAAAAGGTCTGAGCTTACTGTGCACTTGAGTGAGTTCAGGCAAGTGGTGAAATAAGCTATTAAACCCATCCTTTAGCCTAATGCTAATCAGAAACGTGAGAATTTAGGTACTCGGGCTGTTAGTCAAGCTCAATTATAATGGATTTTTTCCAGGGCAGTAATGGAAAGAATTGCAGACCTCTTAGAATTTGCATACTTTTTAAATGCGTAGCATTGGTTGTTTTTTTTATTTCAAAGAGGCCTCTATATCTGAGAGTGGGCATTATAGGAAACAGCTCCTGCCATTTTGTTCTGCTAACAGCTTTATCTTTCTCTAACAGTTGGTAGGGAGAGTTGGCTCACGAAGAACATGGTAATAACCCGAACTGATGGCTGGCAATCCCCCGAAGGACTTAATACTTTATATGGGATAATTTATCAAGACTATTTTAGGGAAATATTTCACTTGTTTAATTTTAAGTGAAATATGGTAAAGTCAGTAAGCTACTGAGGGAACCAGATGGTCCTGCAGAGAATATGAAAAGAGGACCATGTTAATAAGATCCTCCAGATTCCATAAAATGTACCAAACAGGCAGAGATGTAATAGAGAAAAGCTAATTTTAATGAATCCTCTTTAATTAGATGAAGGAAAGATGGATGTTCTCCTTGCCTTTGTTAAATGCCATTTGACATGTCTGTCTTTGCAGCCCTATTTCCCACACTAGTGGAAGTAATACATTTGTGGATAGCTTGTAAATTGCATAGCAGCATTTGGTCCCTCAATATTACCTATAATGTCAATTACTGCAAGAGAACTTAACATTATATATAGTGCTTAAAGTTGACTTTATTGAGCAAAATAGTTTTAATTTCAAAATTTTAACCCTTTGCACACTTACCTGGGAAGAAAAATCATAAATCCCAGTTCTCTGTTAGCAGTATGTTAGCATCCTCTGCCTTTACTTGTTTAAGATAATTTATCTACTGCATTTTGAAGAGAAGGGGAAACTGCAGTTAGTGTAACATTTTATTTGGTATTGAATGCAGAATGGGAAGGCAGACAGTTAACACTTTTGAAGCATATGAAAAGCTCAAGATACAGTTCAGTATTGAGGTGCAGGGAAAGAAAGAAGTGCTGTTCAGAGAGAAGGTAATTGTCCTTGAAAACGCTTGCTCAAAGTCCAGTGCAAAGTCAGAGGTATGGCTTGGTACTCGTACAGTTAAAATAGAAGGTAGCTGTTGCTGGTGCCCTGAAATTTCATTTGTGGCTTAAGCTATACATACAGATTCTAGAGTTTGGTGTCGCTGAAATACGTTCGCGTACATCATGACATGGTATCCTTATGGTAGTAATTTTAAAAGCTGACTTCTGTCCCTCCCCTTCACCATAGGCTTTATAGACTCAGCTGCTAAATTGCTTTGACCCTTTTGCATAGCCAGTAACCGCACTGGAAGGGGAAGGCCCAGCTGTGTTGCATTTCACCTCCTAGAATCTCTGGTCTTGCTCATCTCAAAGATACAAAGTTGGATTAGCCCGATCTGCTTTGGATTGGGAAGGAAAAAGGATTTTTGTGGACCAAATATCAAAGGCCCAAAGAAAAACATGTATATACCTCTGGTATGTATTGCCAGTATAGATTCTGCAATAGGAGAGAAAAATTATTCCATGGTTGTATATTCAGGGACTAACATTAAGTCACTGAACATCTGCATCATAGCTTCAGTATTGGAGTTCCATCAAGTGGGTAATGACAGTTGTTGCACCCATTTTATAGACTCTCTGGTCAAACTGGGCTGCAGTGGTCTTTTCCGTTGCTTCAGTCTGATTCAGGACAGGATGGGCGATTTTAAAATGTACAGTACGTGGCTCTTGTCTGCCCTGCGAGCTCTGTGTCCCTGAAAAGTAAAGAAGTGAATTGGAATTGCGTTTTACGTTGCAACCCAAATAATAAAAACTGGGGCCTGCATTCACACATTCTGCCATACTGTAACCTGGTTTGTTTAGTTTGGGCTCAGTGTGCTTTGTGGTTTGTAAAACAGAGTTATGGCTCAGGATATTGAGAGAATCCAAACAGCTCTGCCCTTTAGCAAGCAGTGGCTTTGTGTGATGTGTTTGAACCAGGGTCTTCTGTTTTATCAGACAGAAAAACTAGAACTTTTCTATTTTTTTTTAACCACTTTTTTTGGTCATCCAGCCTTCAGGCTTCAATGTGTCATTACCCCTTTTCCCAGTTTCCTTTCATCGGGATACCCACTGAGTTGCCCTTAAGAAATAACCGTAGCAAAGCTGCCCTGTCTGCCCCCCCCCGCCACTTCTCTTGTGGCCTCCTTTCTGTAAGAGAGATCTGAACAATGACTTACTGCTGAGTGACTTCCAAATCCTGATTTCAGCATTCTTCAAGTCAGTTTGCTTTGTACTTCCTGTTGCTCAATATATTGAATATAATATTAGCCTTTTCTGCATGAATCATTGCCGGGTTTGATGTAAGCTTCCAAACTGTAGATTACTCATACGGCCTAAATTGGCATTTGCAAGTCAATTTCGGTCATCACCCCATATGCCTTTTCAGTAACATGATTCTTGGAGTTAGAAGGGGGGGAGATACATGGCATATACATTCCTTTTCTTAACAGTTAATTACTAATGCTGAGTGTCTTAGAGGACTTGTGAAAGTATTCCAGAATACCTATTTTACAGCCTAGTACAAAAAAAACAGGGCACAGGGCTTCAAAAGTCCTTTGATCAGTGCTTTGTTCTAAGAGGAACATGTTTAATTTTTTTTTGAAGCAATCATTTATGAAGCTGTGATGGAGCTTGTGGAAATATTCACAAAATGACATATTTTCAGAACAGTGAGTTAGCCTCATAAAGGTGTCACAAATTAAGGGTCTTATTCCAAAGCTTCTAATGTTATGAGATATATTTTAGGATGGGTTCCAAGATATGCAAAGCCCCAATACGGTTGGCTTGGTTATGGCTTAGACTCCTATGTGTCCTCAGCCAGTTGTTTCATATTCAATGCATCTGGTTAAGTAAACCATTATTTAGTATGATATATAGTTTTTAATTAAAATTATCACCCTTTTTGTTGTAAATCAGGGGAGAATGCAAGCTGACTTTGGGTCCTGCTGCAGGAGAACCCCAAGGTGTGGTTTCAGGGATATTCTACCCTTAAATGTTAATTTTCTGTGGCTTTAGATATAGTTCATTCTTGGTTTGGGTGCAATGAAGTTGCTGTTCCTAGAGAATGATGGGCTCATATATTGCATTAAGCCATTGGTTGCTTCATCAGGTTGATTGAATAAAGTACCGTTGGCTGGAGTAGCACAGTAGACTACACCATAAAACCATGGTTTCCTGTATGATCCCAAATGAAGGGCTTGGTGGCTTAGTAGAAGTGGTGAACCAGACAGAAACCGCTTCACCGTAGATCTTGATGATTCTTGAGAGAGAGCAGAATCCCTCACAGTCAGGAGCACTCAAGATCTCGGAAGCCAGCCAGCCAGCCCTGAGTTCAGATAGAAAGGAAGACTGATTCTGAGAGACTCTTAGCTGCTGGAAATGGGCCTGGGGTGAGCAGCAGACCATAATGATAATAGAAAGCCTGATCTACTGATAGATCAGTTCTGTCTGCCATTCAGTTCCTGGCAAGCTGACCAAGCATAAAAGTGCTACTGGAGAATTTGCCCTCTGTTAAAGCCACGGATGCCTTATCTTTTAAGTAACCAATACAAATCATGTCTCCTGATTTTGAAGAGGAGCTTCTTACATTGCCACGTATGCTATCCTTAGGTGGGGTGATTTATTAACAAAGAACGCGGTGGTGTTTCTGGGGCTGTCGGGTTACTCTAACCCAAATAGGATTTATTTACAGCTTAATTTGTTTTGAAAACAAAAGCGGCAATTCTAATCTGACCTGCAAATTAGTTTATAGCAGCAAGCTCTTTGAAAAAGTGCAGGTGAGGCAATTACTTCCTTGTAATAGAATTTGCTTCTCAGGTGTGCTTAAGGGAGTCAGCAGACATTTTGAAATTACGCAATCCATCTCAGGAAGTACTTATGGATTGGTGGATAAAGTAGGGCTAACATTTAAGTTGACATGCAGAAAATGCTGCCTAATCACCTCTGTAACTTACCAAGTGTCTAATTCTCTTGTAGGTTTTGGCTTGGTTCGAAGAAGGAGAAGAAACAGTCACAGCCTTTGTAGAACCTTTTGTAATCTTGCTCATATTAGTTGCTAATGCAATTGTGGGTGTGTGGCAGGTAAGCAAATACATTCTTCGAAAATTGTGAAAGCGGGCTGTTTCAGCAGATTAATTTAAGTTGCTTGGAGTTAACATTATATTTATTAAGAAATTTGAAAGTAGGTGCTAACTCTGAAATTAGTTATGCCTTTTCATCCTCAGACAGATGCTGGATGTTATAAAGGTAGGACAGGTTCCAAATAGCAGTGCACCTAATTCAGTCCAGCAAGGAGACTTTGGACTTTGAATGCTTAACCATCAGCTGGTGTCTTCCTTTGGTAAAATAGTGATCAGTTCCATGCTCTTTCAGGGGAAAGGTCGTCAGGGGTGTCATTGATAGAAATTAAGGTTGCGAATTAAGTAATATGCTAAATCTATGAAAACTGAGAGTCCCCAAAGACTTTAGTTTAATTTATTTGGTAAACATTCCATATTCCAGTAAATGCCACCCCATGAAGTTTGCCCAAGTCATTGCATCCATCAAAATATATCCTTAAATCAGGCTATAGTTAATGTTTACCTGCTATTCCAACTAGAATTTTCCATGGGAGAATATCAAAACACGAGGATATTGTATGAGAGTCTTGTGAGATAGAGTGAGCCCCTCGACTTGCTAAGGTTGCCACTTTTGAAAGCCGATGGGTTGGTCTGAAAGAGCTTTAGTTTGGCGTCCTTCAGTCAAACCAGCCTGGGTTGACCTCTTTCTTTTGCATCATGGCAGGTGGATGTGACTAGTTGCCGAGCGTAGCTGGGCTCTCTTTCAGTGGACAAAACATCCAATACTGGCCAGCCCGTGTGTTTGGGGCCTGCCGCTGTTGATTCAGGATTTAGAGGGATTTAATTTTCAGTTGATTCACTGGAATGGCTTAAACCTGAGAGGCTTTTGCGATTAGATTTCTGCCTATTAACGAAGACAAATAACTGTTGCCCACCCTTTCAGTAACGATATGCACATTACCTTTAAAAGCAAGAAAAATACTTGAGTGAAGAATTCTTCCAGCACTCAGATGAAAATGTAGAAGTTATGATAGAACAATGCTATAAACAGCTTTAATATTCACGAATCATTTGTCTGGTCATGTTGGTGACAGTTTAATTTTTCATGCTTCTGAAAATGGAAGGTATGATTTAAAAATGTATTTCTTAGCTTAAAAGTAGGAGATTGAAATTGCCTTCTCATGATCACTTTTCTTAGTCTGTATCTCCTGTTTCAAGAGTTTTGTGACAAGTAAAATAACTGTGAACATGCATTCCTCTTACATAGACATGTCCACCTCTTAATGTTGTTTCCAGCAGCACTACATCTCCACGTGTTACAGCAAAAACCATAGACAGATGTTTCTCATTTGCCTGCAAGAGTAGATGCTGAAGTTGGCTGCTTGGACTTCTTTTCATGACAAACTAATAATTTATCAAGATTTTAGCAGTAAGCTGCTTGGGGAAGTCAGTCGTATTGACTCAAAGCCCTTGGCTTTTACTAAAGAATTGTGGAAATGCTCATGAGGCATTAATAGTTTCTGTTCTAAAATCCCAATCCTATCACCGTGTTGTGTTAATGGCAGGTACTTTGTTAGCGAGTTATGGGTGTGAAATGTGTTGAAAGGAAGGTGTGGGAATGGTGGTTTTCTTCCAGCTGCTACTTTGGCATCTTGATTGGAACGGTGGACACAGTCTGCCAAACAGAGCCAAATGCTGTGGGGGAGAGAAGAGGATAAGGGCGCTTAATCACCAAGTTATAACTCTGTTGCCAAATTTATCAGTTACCCCTTTAGGCAAGAAGTACGCTTTGGATCAGGGTTATTTGCTCTAAAAGGAGACCAGACAATACCTTCTTTTTTAAGAGAGATAAGGATCTGCACTTAAAAGGGATCTGAACTGTAGAATTGTCTCCCTTTTTTGCTTTATGCGCACCAAAATTGCTTTGAGAAAATAGCATTAGGCCATATTTGACAGTGAAATTTTGCAGGCTGCTCCCTCAGCTTAGCTGCAGCAATATGATGCATCTCTTTCTGTCAGAGAATGATCCTACAGTAGATTATTTATTAAACGGTGAAGCTGGAGGCCAGCTGCTAACCACAGTAGTCAAAACTAGACCTACTGAACCCCTGATGTTGATGCTGACCATTGCAGGAGCGAAATGCCGAAAATGCCATTGAAGCTCTTAAAGAATACGAACCTGAAATGGGAAAAGTTTACCGACAAGATAGAAAAACCGTACAGAGGATAAAAGCAAGAGACATCGTCCCTGGTGACATCGTGGAAGTAGCTGGTGAGATGCTTTATTTCCTACAGAATAATGGAATTTAAAATGCTTTTTTTGTGTGCGTTGCTTCTGTCAAGCATGAATTAGTTCTTGATGTGCAGCTAAAACCTAGAAAACAAGCAGACAAAACAAAAGCCCTTGCTGCGTAGGGTTCGTTCCTTCAGGAAACCCTCCTCCTCCCCAGGTTTAATTTTTGCGCTGATGAATTACACGATCCTGCGAAGCTCGTGCCCTTAAGAGACTTTGCAGTCCAATGGCTGCCACGTTTATGGCTCATCTGGATCACTTGTATTATCAGCAGGCAATTTCTGACTGCAGCTCTTTTTCCTCAGCACAGAGAGTACACAAAACGGATTCTTTCCCTTTTGCCAAACTTGTTGCCAGAATGATATTCAAACTGATGTGACAGTGATCAGGTCGCTGCTGCAGGTAGTGTTGTCCAGTGACTGCTCAGTCAAGGGGGGGGCGTTGGGAGGATTTCCAGTGGCCTTCAGCTCTGCTGTGTGGACTCAAAAGCAGCGCTACTCCTTGTCTCTGTGCTCTGCTACCCCTGGAGGCCTGATTGGACTCTCCTCCCCAATCTCCTAGGCCGGGGTTCCTCAACCTCAGCAGCTTTAAGCTGGGTGGACTTCAACTCCCAGAATTCCCCAGCCAGTTGCCGAGGTTGAGGAACCCTGGCCCAGGCCACCTTCCCAGCCCACCCACGTGGCTGCCTTGGATAGGGCCTCCTGCCAATGCGATGGTCACCTGGCACATACTGTATGTGCTCCAGGGAGTGCAGAGCACTAGTCGTTGTCACCTTTAAAAAAAATTCAAACATCCTAAAAAGGAGCTGATGGAAAGCCATGGCTGCTTCTAGAAAAACCGGGCATTAGAGTAAAGGAAGGGGCGTTCTTTTACTGGACAGGAAAAGGTCTTAAGCCTGCCTTCTAGCCAAGAAAAGCAGAGGTGAAGGTTTCCTGACATGTCCATCTTCCAGTGACCAAAAAAGTTCTCCGCAGGGCATCCAGCTACACAACTGCGTAGCCATGAACTTAAAGTATAGCGCGTCCAGCGTATGCAAGCAATGGCCACTGAGCTAAAATTTCATGGTGGAAGGGAGGGAACATACACTGTGTTCCATAGCTGATGTCAAGACTCAGAGGTGTGAAAGACTGTGGGCATGCCTCTGTCATAAGTATAAGCGCATTGGATGGCCTTTGACGTGGTGTCTGCCAAAAGAGGACCATGTAGGGAAGCAACAAAGCACTTGATCTGGGGATGCATATCTGATTGTGGAATTTTAGGCAGCATGCCAGTGACATTTGCATGTTCACACAAAAGCTCCTCACTGTTGACCAGCATAAAATAACCAGGTGGCTGTCATCTCCCACATGTCAGTGGTGCCTAATGATCAGGGATACTTCAATATAGGTTTCAGCAGGAACAGAGTTGCTGACCCTAAAATAGGGTTGCACAGAGGCTGCTATGCAGGTCGCTCTTTGCCAAAAGACTTTCATAGCACCCACAGTCAAATTGTGGAAAATGCTCCTAAGAGGGGAGCAGGAAATCGACAGTGACAGACCAGACTCTGCTCTTCCAGCTGTACGAAGGCAAGAACTTGATGACAGTTCTTTCTTTAGGGAATATGTGGTATCTTGCCTTGTGAAAACATAACAGTATACCACCAGGTAGAGCTGGGCTCTCTTAAGTTTTCTTCTCAGGTATCATTATTCCTCTCGATCGTTGGAGAAACTCGTTCAGTTACAAAAGGAAGAGGTGTGCGCTTAGGCATCAGTTGCCTAGGATTCAAAACCTTTCGGTCTCAGCAGTCAGACAATGAATGCTCACCTGAGACTTCTCAATAATGTTAGAGATTGTTTCTGGGAAAGCGTCTGACTCTTCAGGGCTTACCAAAGTGGGACTTGCGGTAGGCATCCTTTTCTAAGAACTGGAGCAGTTCAGATGGGAGGCCTAATATAACAAAATTCGATCTTGCCCATTGCTGCCTGATTCTCTTGCACAGTACAAATGCATGGTCTGATGACAAGCGCCTTCCGATTACTCCCAGGGGTAAAGGGTTTCTTGTAGGACTCTGTAATTTAATGGAGCTTAGTAACTAAGGACCGACCCTACACCTCTGGATGACTTTAAAGCCCTCTGTGCTTATTCTGAAAGTGGCCGAGCCCTTATTCTGAGTTACAGTGTGGTTGCTTTGCTTTGGCCTAGCCATGAGTTAGGGTTGAAGGCTTGGTATGACTCGTGAATCAAGCCATGGTGGCTTCTTTAGCAAATCATGGCTAAACCTCACTTGGTTTAACATGCAGCGTGAATTGAGCCAACTTTTATGTTGGATAAATTGTAGAAGACTGTTTATGGCTTGACCATGGGGACTGCTTTAATTTAGTGGCTTGCTGAACATGTATTTCATTTCAGTAGAACAAAGAACTAAAGTAAAAATCTGTTGACTGTTAATTGACAACAGCCTTAATTCTGGGCATTCCATTGTAATGTTCATCAAGTTTGTATAACTGCTTGTAACATTCCAGAGCAGTGTTTCTCAACCTCAGCAATTTTAAATTAGATGGATTTCAACTCCCAGAATTCCCCAGCCAGCATGGAATTCTGGGAGTTGAAGTCCATCTAACTTAAAGTTGCTGAGGTTGAGAAACACCGTTCCAGAGAGTATTAGGAGCTCACGCTTGCTCTTGCTGTCCCTGTTTAGTATTAATGTAAATCCCTATTTGGTCGTGAAGCAACATATATTTATTTAATAAAACCAGTTGGTAAAGCTAGGCTTTACCAGTGTGTTTGCTTTTAGCACGACTTGATTCTCTTCTAATCTCTCTAAGTCACAACGTCAAACATTGTTTTGTGGATAAGAAATATATAAAAATGCAAGAATATTCATCACAGTGAATGCAGCTTTCAGCCTGCTTTGATGGAGATAGCAGCCTTACTGAAGTTGTTCTAAAGCAAAATAAATCTTAACCTCATGCTGTCACCCACTAGAATCTGTAAAACGGACTGGAGTTCAAACTAGGACAGCGCACTTATTTCAGAATTATTTATAAAAGGGTGGTTGAATTTGAGCACTCGCTGTGTGGGTCGTTTCCCCCCTGTGAGTTATTGAAGTATAAAGCTTGGAGAATGTGAAGCCTATGGTACTCTCATGCTTTGGATTCACCGAATGCTTGCTTTCTTATACCCTTAATAGAACTCAAAGGGGATTTATTATTGGAACAAAAGGTACTGGACAGAATTCTTGAACATCAAGATAATTTGCCGCTAATATTCCATTCTGCTTTAGCAAATCTACATAATCAGAGTCCAGCAACTTTTTGAATTGAGGCCATGCGAACTTTGCTAAAAGATCTAGTGGCTGTCTGAACCTTATTGGAGATTGCTGTTCTGCTAGGAGCGCTGTTGCCCAGGGCAAAGTGAATAAGAATCCTTTTCCTTCTGTAAGGAAGAGCGTGCGTTTTTGCCCCCAGCTCTCTTGATTGCGTGGTTGTGGCTGCCTTGGCAATCATTCGTTCGTTCTTGTGTCTGCTAAACCCTCTGTGCATAGTTATTGCTATAATTAAAGTCTCCACACATCAGCTAATCAGTTTACGATTCTTAGCATTGAGACAGTGACAATTACCTTTATTAAGAGAATCAGAGTAACCCTGTTTATCAGGGGAAAGGGAGCTCAGGAACCCATTCGGCTGATTCACAGGCGGTGGCTGCGGGCTCATTTGCTAATACAGCGCTGTGCGAATTTGATTATGAGCAATCTCTGATGTCACAGTCTGAAAGTAAACCTGGCAGGAATCTGATGGCATCTGGCCAGATTCTGTGTGGAAACCATTAATGTGTGTGCGGGGAGGAAATGCATTTACAGGCTTAGATAATTTTGTTTTTTTTCCCGGCATTGTTCCTAAGTTAACATAGAAGTCTGTTTGATGATTGTGTCCATGGCAGAGGTTGAGAAATCCAGGGAAGGGAAAGAAATTGGGTAGTAGAGATTATGAATGAGGTACTGATTTTTATTGTAGGCGGACAGCAAACTACGGGTGAGATTAATACATTGCAGGAAGCCGTGGTTTGCTTTAACTATGGTTCATTGAATAAGCCACTATGCTAAACCACAATTTACCCATCCTCTTGATGCTCTACGTGAAAAGCCAACAAGCCTGCCATGATTTGCGAGCCTAGTCAGTATCCAGCAACATGCTGCTATAGGAGCTCAGAATTGCTGCTTGAGGTTCAGTTCATAGCCAGAGAGGTAATACTTCCAAATTTGTGAGTTGCTGAATGGATTTAGCTCAATGGTGTTGCACGCTTCTGATAGCCAGCAGTCAAGTTTGAATTTGAATTTGAGCAGGAAAAACTGAACTGAGTCATTCAGAGCAGCTAGTTAAATGATCTGTACAATGGGAGGCTCGCAGTACTGAGGCAGAGATCTGGGTATTAAACTCAAGAATATATCAGGGATTCAAAAATGCTTTTTTTCCCCCTTTGTTCCCTGCCTCCCACCCCCATCCCTGCTCGAGAAGAGGTAGGTTATTAATTGTGACTTCTGATGTGGGTTGGAGTTAGATTCTTGGAAATTAAAGATATCTCAAGTGAAGGAAAGAAAAGCACTGATGTTACTGCCCCCCCAGGTTATAAGAAAGCCAGAATTTTCACTTATTTTGGTGTTAGAACGATCATGGTGTCGTCATATGCAACACACTGCCCGAACTAACTTCTTCATTTTGGATGGTTGAATACAACAGAACATTAGCTCAGTCGCCGTACTTGCTGCTTTGAACAACAGTTGGGAGCAATAGACCTGGGAAAAATTATTAGCTCTCAGTAGAATTCACTTTCTTCTTTGATTGCCTCATTTTGGGATGCTGAACAGTCCTTCAGAGCCAGTGAGGATCTTCTAGATCAGCGTTTCTCAACCTTGGCCACTTGAAGATGTGTGGACTTCAACTCCCAGAATTCCCCAG